TGCTCACACTTTTTTCTCGGGTTCTTCTTTTACTGCTTGTTGATTCTCAAAGAGCTTGAGCGAAACCTGTACTCCCGCATTCTCCTGCAGATCCACGATGCAATGAAAATGAAGTGTACACAACCTGCCGCACCTGTGAAGCTACATGCGAGGATCTGACACCAGACTGTTCTTTAGTGTGTGAATCTGTGGGATGCGAATGCCAACATTCCAAAGGATTTGTTCGACATATGGGCCACTGTGTTCCTATGGAAATATGTGATAAATTGAACATAACTGAAGCTGTGGTACCCGGTAAGTAATTATTTGATGCTAAAGATACTGGACTTTTGAACGTGTTTTTTTTTTTTTGATGATTAGCTCAAAGAGTATATTTCTAAACATTAAGAAAAATTTTCCTCTATATTTCTTTAAACGGCAGAACCGTTTGATCTTATGCCCATTTTTTTGAAACAGTGGATTCTGCTGTTCAATTATTTTAGTTCACTTCATTTTTATTTCAACCGCTAGACTGCTAATTGAGTTTCATGTAAAATATTTCTGGCGTTTCTTTGCTGCACTAAGCGAGCAGTTATAACTCTTTAAACGACGATATTTTAGGTTGCGAAAGTGTAACCTGTAAAGCGCTAGAAGTGTGTAAGATGAAAGAAGTTGCCTGCTTAACTAAAGAATGCTTCCCGAAACCGGAATGTGTCAGTATATTGGATGTGGTATTTCCCAATTAAATTGTTTCCAACAGTTACGTTAAACAATCTCTGCTAAAGTGCAGTAATAAAAACAAGAAAAAAAAAGAGGTAACTTCAATGTTATGGCGAAATCGAATTAAAGCTCAATTATCAAGTAGCACATCGTTTTTTGGGCTTTTTCACCTGTAAATTATGCATCTGTGTACAAAAAGGTGACTTCTGTTGAATACCAAATATTTAGGTAAAGATCAGGGTTTTTAAATCTGTTATTCACAGTTATGTTCATTGCCCCTATTTCTCAAATAAACCTTCTTTTTTTGCAGTGATTCCGATTAAATAGGCTGAAATAAAAAGCACTAATGTTTTGTAATATGAAGCTAGAATTTTGCGTTGAAGTCATTGGTACCTACTTCAAGACTGTGATATGAACTTGTCATATCACAATCAGGAAAGCCCGTTTTTACCTTCAATTCCAATTTTTCCTTTGTTCTCCGATGGTAAACAACAACAGCGGGAGGTTTTCAAGATGAAGTTCTGCGAAGAAGCCGCAGGAAGAAGCTTTAGAGGTGAAGAAGTGGGTGTTTAGCAAGAGGAAATCCCCTCAGGAAATTAAAACAGAAACAGAAATCTAATTCTCTTCTTCTTCTCTTCTCGAATCCTGCATTTACTTCTGGAAAAGTACAGACTTTGTTGCCTCGTTCTGAAACCCTACTTTTACAATTGAAATTGCCTTGTGAGCATAACAGATAATGCACAGCACGCTTCAAGCTCAATTAGAGCTTTCCCGGTAAAAAGGAAGCTCTTCCCTGGCTTCACTAGTGCGGGGAAGGTGCCGGATAACATCTCAGTATTAGAATGTCGCATGTTTTTAAAAGCCTGGGTCTTGTTCCCAGTACCAGTGACTTGTCAGTTTCAGAAGACAATTAGAGGACAAATTAAAGAATTTTAAGGATGGATTCTTTAGGGTTGCATTACGTATTATTTGTTTAATACCAAAATGTTTAATAAGCCCTTTGTGCCCCTGTTTTTTCCAATTGCCAATGCAAAACTGGGTTCTGATCTAAAGCAAAAATACTTAAAACCAAGTTAGCAAGCAGTCTTGTGTGCCTTGCATTTTTAAATAAACTAAGCCCCCCGAAGAAGGGGTATGGGCGCGAGGTTTTTAGCACTCATGATTCTTTTATAGACTGCTTAATCGTATAAGCATGCACTACTTTTTATTGAAGCACAGGTCTCATTACAAAAATGACAATTATCATCCCATGCTGAACCAGGAACTTCTGAATAACATTATTTTCCAAGCGTTTATTCAATTTTCTGCGCACTCATTAGAACCGGCAAAATCAAAGCGCCAAAAATAGTTCACTTTGAAGGCTTCTAAAAATTTCCGAAAAAATTTAATAAAAGTCATGGTTCCTTTTGCAGACCATTCAAACAAGATGTAGAGTAGCAGAAACAAATATGTGTAAATATTGTTCATCTTAAACAACACAAGCTTGACCGAAACCATAGAACAGAACTTAAGATTAAGCTCTTGCCCAAATGAAGCTATAAGCCAAAGATTAATTACACTTTTACGTAATTTTAAGTATTATATATAAATAAATAAAGTTATATATATATATATATATATATATATATATATATATACTTATATGCAGCACTATTAATGTGCTTTTGTATTTTCATGATATTAACAAACTTGAATTCAATTTATGAGCTGCAGCGAATTTTTGAGTAAAATAAAAAAAGTTGTTCTGGTCAAATATCTTCAAATGTGTTTGTCACCAAGCTTCGCAAGGATGCAATTTAACATCTGGATGACAATCATTGAAGACTGTTGCAGATGGCATACAAAAAATATGAAAAACCAGATATAAGCGTGGCAAAAACGGGGTCTTCTTCTTACATTGTCTTCAAATAAAGCCTGTTCAAGACATACACTTAAAGCTTTTATATAACAATTTGTCAAGAATCTGTCGCATTTCATGTCTAGCCTCTGTTACCAGTATGCAGTTGCAGTCTCCGGTTCTCAACTAATTTTTTTTGAACATCTTGTATTTTCTGTGATTCAAGAAAAAACAATGGAATAACGTCTGATAGTGGATTCGACCATCTGCATTCAATTATAGAAATATACATCTCAATATGCTAATATAAATGCTGTAAAATAAAAAGTTAATGGACCGTTCAAAAAAAAAAGATTGTTAAAAAAAAAAAAAAGGAAACCTCACTAAGATTTAAATGAGAATTGCTTGACAACCTTGAATCCCTTTTTTCTTAAAATAGTCAGACAGCACTTCAAATTGAAGTAGTGTTATTTTAAAGCTTATTGGCGCAAGAACATTCAAAAATTGTAAACGTTCTTGTTCCTAGTTTACGTGAGAATGAAAAAAAAAAAAACAAAAGAAAAATGATCAAACTACTGTCTTTTCTACCCCTCACTTTCCTCGTATTCTTATCGTATTCTAGACTCGTACCGTAAGACTCGTATTCTTAACTGCCGTAAGCTTGGTTTCTCACCGAGTTTTACGAGAGATATCCATACCTCTCGCATTAATGTTCTCCAATGTGAAGATTGCAATATCAGTATTAATACAGTAACCTTATTTACAATACTTTTCTGAAATTCAAATTATCTGTATCTATTCAGTAATGTCTGCGAAATATTGAACACAGTTCCACACTAGAAAAAATAATAAAAAAGAGAAAGGTATGATGGTTTTTTACTTTTATTTGCTTCCGGCAAACCTTCGGGACTGTATATACGTGATGTAAATATGTGAAAAACACATGTATGTATACTGTACATACGACTATTGTTGACTACCGAAAAAACGAAGCTATAAGCATTTGCATACGCTCATTAAGTGTTGTCCTTGTTCTCAGTAGCAAGTTGAAAAAGGTTTACATTACAGCTTTCTACAAAAAAACAATAAAGTAAAAAAAACATCATCGTTGCCTTCTTTTTCCTGTTCTCTTGCTGCCACCAACTCCAAGAAGAAAAAACCGTAAAGTGCTTACAGAAAATACAGAGAGACAACCTAAAAAGCGAGAATAAAACCATAAATAATTCAAAATCTTGCTGCTTTTTTCCTTGCCCTCTAAATTTGAACAACGGCTGCTAATGTGAATCTTTCTTTAACATTTATAGAATGTTACCAGACAAACTCAGATAAATTGTATTCTGAAAAAACAGCATAAAAGAGCTACTTTAAACTGCTAATTTCACTGTTGCTACATTTCAGAACGATAATGCGAGAGAGTAGGAGAAACCGACAGTCAGAGAAATTTGAAAATTGCAGAAAAAGAGTACGAGCTTTAAGCACGAGATGACTTTTATGTGGAACGAATTCAGCTCCGCAACACAGATCCAAGTAAAGTTCGTACTTTTTCTCGCAATTTTCAAATTTCTCTGAATGCCTGTTTCTCCTACTCTCTTGCCTCAACGTTCTTCAACGTGAAAGCTGCAATATTTGCACTAGCACGGTAGCCCAGTCTATGTTATTATCCTGAAATTTAAGTTGAATACATCTATACAGTAATGTCTTCGAAGTATTCGAAACAGTTCCGCGCTGAAAAATGTCGTACAGATAGGGAGCGAGAAGTGAATAAGCTTTTATTTTGATTCATATGTGGCAAATATTCGGGACTGTAGGGGGGCAGGGAGGTTATTATGAGAGGCTGATCGGCACTGTGAAACCTGCATTATGGAAAACTATAGGACGCAAAATATTGAAATTTGAAGAGTTCAGAACCCTTGTATGCAATGTTGCAGCTATGGTGAATTCCAGACCGCTGACATATATCTGTGATGAGATAATGTTGACTGTTATTCGTCCTATGGATTTTCTACAGTGTGCTGGCCCAACTGGCATTGCACCAGTAGGAGCCTTTGACGATCCAGATTATGTCCCTCCGCAAGAGCGGAAGGAATTATTCAATTTGTATCAAACGAACATGACCCTAACAGAAAACTACTGGCACATATTTGGAGACGAATATCTGTTAAGCCTCAGGAAACGTCAGACAATGGTGCATAAGGGACAAAGACTGTCTGATCAAAGAGCGCCAAAAGTTGGCGATGTAGTCCTTATTAAAGAAATTGACTTGAGGCAAGGTGAATGGAACCTGGGACGCATACAGAAGATCAAGGCGCCACAAGGCTATATAAAGGCCGTGACAGTCATTTTACCAAATCATCAGTGCATTGAGCGACCGATCTCTTGGCTTTTTCTAGTAGAGTGTGCTTTTGTGTAAGAAATTTTGAAATTCTGCTTGCGTTCGTTTCTCTTCTGCTTCTATTTGCTGAAGTTGTTTTTTCCATTTGATCAAGTTAAAAGGTTTTTGAATTTAAGTTTGATATTATTTTAAATCTTTCGTTTGTGCAATTTTTTACAAGTCATATTCATGTTACAGTTGCCGGCGTATTTTACTTTTTCTTTTTACTTTGTAAATTTTAATTTTCAGGTGTTAGATTTATTTTTTCTCTTCTTAAAATTTATCAGTTTCTTTTCTTCTTCTGGAATAAGTCCAGTGTTGTTTCATATAATTTTTCTTCAATTAATCAAATCAAGGCTATATTAGTGGGAAATCCCAAAGTTTGTATATAATGACATCAACTACGTGGACAAAGGAGATTCAGTTGTCAGCACCGGCAGTTTATGTAGTGGCACAAGTTAAACGGGGGTATTATATCTTGGTGCTTGACGTTAATAATGATGTAAATGAGCTGTTGTTAAAGGAAGCACCAGTGATTATTCAAATGTTTTGGGGTGACTTGTTAAACCCAATGGATGCAGTACTAGTTCGATCTAATCAATTGGGTATATATAACGGAAGGCAGACTGAATTACCATTATATGGACAGGTATCGATAAGATCCTTCCTACATCAAGTCTTTCCTACATTCCTACATCATCAATTAAGAACTGGTGTACGGACCAGAGACCTGCAAGTCATCTCACAAGCGGAGACATTTACGATCCTAGCCATCGTCCAATATGTTAAGATCAGGCCATTTACGGTTTCGATCTCGGCGAAAGGAATTGTAGGTGAAGAAAGAATGTACGAAGAACGCGTACATTTGAAAAGAACTCCGTGTATAGGTCAGATCGTGGATGCTGAAGTGATTGCTCTCCCATCAGGGAAACTAGAGTACGAGGCGGAATTCCAAAACGTACTCTACACTTATTGTTTACCAATAGCATTCCAAGAACTGGAGGAAGGAGGTCACCTATCAGGTATACACCGGGTATGGGTACGTTATATTCGTGAATCCAGTCAGACGAATCGCCAAGGTAATATAATACAGAGAGTTAAAATGAGTGGAAAACAGTATCCAGAGCAGATCCGGGAGTACGAAGGCCTTATAACTGCGTCAGCAGTCTACGCAAAGGAAAGGATTCGCACAAATTTTTGGGTAACTAGGGCTTGTCCGACAGGAGTTTAGGTGAGGGTTAACCAAATGGGTAAGTTGACCTCAGCCAACTTATTATTTTTTATTCCATATAATAAACGTGACTTGCAATGTGAACGATTGTTAGCGAGCAGGTTACATTTTTGGAAAGAGGGAACAGAGACGAGGCTGGAGACCCAGACGTATAGCGCACGATTTTGTCGGAGTGGGATGAAGATGACGGTCCAGAAAGTGGAGACTAATGACTGGAACAACATTATTCTGGAGGCATCCATGAATAATGACCAGGTCCAAGTGGCAAAGGACCGAGCTCCAAGGATGATGAAGTATAATGATCCCACTGGAATTGTTTTATATCCGGACATGGACAACACAGGGTACGAAGTGGTCTCTAGACAATTCGCGGCAAGAAGACTGACACAAGCACTTACCGATGAGCAATACTCAAGGCGTAAGTATTTAATAGAGAATTTAACACAGTTGAAGGAGCCGGAGGAAGGTATGGAGGTTGATGATGATGATGGCATAAGGTCAGAGGATATTAATCTGAATGATGAAGAGATCAGAATACAAGAACATGATTGGCACGTGACGAAGGAGCAGGTACAAGTTTTAAAATTCTTAGATAAACCAGACAGCAAAATTTTAGCTGTCCAAGCTCCGGCAGGAACCGGTAAAACTTACACAATTACATTATATTTATTAAAATTATTGGAAAATCTAAAAGGGACTGTCCTAGTGACAGCTCCCACTAATCTGGCAGTACAGGAAATTACAGGGAAGGTCCTGGACGTGCATAAACCTAAAGCGGTCAAATCCTGTTTCTGCAGTCGGTCGCCAATGAGGTCTTACCCCACCAGATTGGAAGCCACCAATGGGAGGCATGCCGCGTTCCAGAGATATTGCAAGCCTACGCCGAAAACAAAGTAGAAAAAGCCAAACCGAAATTTGTAATTAAATATTTATCGAGGAGGCTTCTTCATGACGGGAACTCTTACCACGAGGGCGAAGCACTGCGAGTGGCAATAACCATCCAGCAGCCTAAAATAATCTGCGGTACCGTCCCAATGGTAAGTATGCTTTTGCAGGTGTGGGAGCAGAACTTCAACTTGGATCTCCTCCAATATTTGGTAATAAGGGAAGGTGGCCTATTGCCAGAGATGTCTCTATTATCATTAATTTTATTATTACCAAATATGCAACAAGTTTTAGTTACTGGAGACCAATGTCAACTGCCTCCATACACCGGAACGCTACCAGACAACGTCATCTGTTTGGGCCACGAGGCAGCAATAGAAAAACTTCTTAACAATCCTATTTGTAAATATAAGGCACTAACAAAAAACTTCAAGAGCCGTCCAGTACTGGTCGAAGCTTTAGCGGATGCATCGTACGGAGGGCAGTTGAAACCAGGCCGGACGGAAGAAGAACGCAGTCGATGGAGAGCATTGGGGTTCCCATCACCAAACGATTGGACTCCAATACCTATGCTGCAAACGACAGGACGCGAGCAACTAACTTTGGAGCGAAGCCGGTCAAATGACCTCCATAATGAAATAGCAGTCATGCCAAGAAGGTTCATTGTGGACAAAATACCCTCAGCGGAAGTTATTATTCTGTGCTATTATTCAGATTCCGTTACCAGGATTGCCAGGCTGGATCTCGAAAGTCACGTTTTTAGCATTAATCGTTACCAAGGACGCGAATGTGACTTCGCGATTATAGTAACGTCACGAGTGGCCCAACCGAACATCTATCAGAACGTCGATTTTGTTTTAGATGCCAGACGTACAACAGTAACCATCTCCAGAGCTCGTGAAGGCGTCTTTATTATAGGTGACATGGAGATGTTGGGACGTTCACGAGTCTGACGAACATACGTGGAAAAATATCCAGTGGCGTTCAGTAAGTTGAGTGTCTTCCATAGTTGGATGAGAAAGTATGATCAACGGCGTTCTGAAGGTAGGTCTTACTTTAGCTAAAAGGTAAGTTACCAGAATTTTATAAAAATTTTTCTTTTTCTTTCATTTACCTTATTATTTTTTCTTTTGTTTTTTCCTAGATTAAATTTTCTCCTTTTTTATCTTTATTTTTTCTTCCGAATTTTAATTTTTTCTTTTTTTTGCTCGTTCTTTATTTTATCTTTTCTTTCTTTTCATTTTTTTAAATCTCTTTTTTATTCATTTTCGGTCGTTTTCTTTATTTTGATTTTTTGGTTTTTGTTTCTCTTTCTAGCTTTCTTCTTCTTTTTTCAATATTTTTTTTTGTTTTCTTTTTATTTTGATCCTTAATTTTTTTATTTTTTTTCCATTTTTCTTTCCTCATTTTTCATTTTAATTTTTATTTCTTTTAAAAAAAAAAGAAAGAAAAAAGCCTCTAGAAGGGGGAAAATATTTTAAATGCTAAAAGACCCGAAGCTGGGCAAATCAAGACGTTCCGGAAAAAGAAGAAACTCAGGTGATATTATTTTCAATGGTGATTGTAAGTTTGCTTTCAAAGATTATTTGTGCTTGTTTATAATTTCTTCTCTTTATTCTTGATGTTTATTTCTTTTTTCCTTGTTATTTTGCATTCAGCCTAAGGTCTTTTTAATAGCCTCCAAATTCTCCACCTGACCTCAGCTCTGCAAAGCTGTTATAATGATCACCAAACATCTATGTGGACGAACTTGGACCTTGGTATGTACAATCATGTAAAAAGCTGGTTAGCTAACCGGGCACTGTGGCCCGAAAAGCGAACAGCTTGCAGCAGTGGTTGTACAAAGCTGACAGCCGGGAAGCGTAGGTGAAATTAATGTAGTGTTCTGATGCACTAAACTGTAAATTTCTACCTCTCTGTTGGTGGCTAACTTTACTGCAAGTTGTGTGGCCACTGGCTGGTGTAAAAAGCGAAGAAATCGACTAAGAGTACGAGAAGTCTGGATGTGCCATCGTTGGAGATTGTCTCCTTAACATCTGCCATTTTTCCATCATTAAAAAAAGCAGGATTTTGAAGGACCCCTTAGAGCTAGTGAAGCTTTTGATGGTAATAAAAAACTAAACGAACTAGAATCTACCTCTGATGCGCTTCATTCGCATGAGGATCAAACGAAGCTTACTAACATTGGCAGTAATGCGTTATAAAAAGAACATAATATTGACAGGAATATGCTATTATAAGATCACCGATGACGAGAACAAAATAGTTTTGGACTTGACACATTCTCCTTTCATCACACCGTTTTTGTAAATAATCATTTATTCAGCGAACCTTCCAGAATAAAATCAACTTCTCTCTTCATAACTCAAACACTTCTTAGTACCAGCAGCGTATGATAAGTGAAGCTGCGCAAACAAAAGGAATAACGTTATCATACGAAAAAATAAAAACAGGGAAGGTAAAGAAAACAAGTTATTGAGAGTGATTTAGCTACAGTTATTCTGATATATCGGTGTAATGAATAATTTATTTGGTTTTAAACGGATTAAAGAGCTGCAACAATAAACTTCTAAATTTCTTTGCATTCTCGGTAACATACGAACTCGGGAAGATTTTTTCTCCGTGGATGATACGAGAATGATACGATTGTCAATGACACCGGCGCCGTAGCTGGAACGCGCTATGATTTTTTTTTTACCGTGTGACCTCTCGTGTAAGTTATGCAATCCACAGGATGTAATCAGACTGCCAAAGTATTTGAGAAACAAAAGTATATAGAAGTCATATTGCATAAAAGTATCCTTGCTCCATTCTCAGAAACTTCTCTACAGCTTCCTAAGCTGAAACCGTAATCACTTGAAACTTTTTTTTGACACTAAAGAACCAAAAAGGGATACGAGCAGATGGAAGAGTGTGAAAAACT